TTTTATTTTTAATAAAAAAAATATTATTAAATTATTTAAATAATTAATTATTTAATAATAATTTAAATTATACAGTACGTGAAAAAGTCCAAGAATAGCAATACGTCCTACTCCAAAACAAATCACACAACATCATGTTCCTATTCCTCTATAAATTAAATTTAAGGCGGTCTCATATCCGCTCATCTCATTGTTCTCCTCTCTCTTCGCCAATTAACCATTGAAGCTTCTTGTGGAATTCCAAGCGTTTCATTTTTTCCCGAGGGAAAAACATCAGAGTTTGTTGATTTTCCATCTTCTGTTTGGTAAGAATGAAATTTTCTTTATCAAATTTTCTTTTTATTTCTGTTTGTTTCGTTTCTTTTTGAATTTGTGTATATATATATTTTTACATATATTTGTGTTGTTTGGTTGAGGAGATCACGTGGATCTTTCCGTGTTTGTTTCTATAATGTTAGGAAATCTGTGAAAATTTTCATTTCTGTTTCTCTCTGAATTTTCTCGAGGATTGCATTTCTCTTTTAGGTGGGAAAACTAGTTTCCCATGTTAGATAGATAGGGAATGATGCTGGGGGAACTGAAGTTGTTGGTGAGAAATGAAGCCGATTCAGTTGATTAGTGTCCATGAATTTGATTACTAAGAGATTTTAAGAAATCTTCTGAAATCTGTAGAATTCGGCTTCTTTTTTCCTCAATCACTGGTGTTTTTCCTTAAAGAAAGCAATTTCAGGATAGTGAACAAATTATATAATGTTCTATCTGTGCTGAATAGATCTGTTTGTTTAGGGAAAATCTTTTCTTCCTGTTAAAACCTTTACAGTTTCATTGTCCGTGGATTGTCAACCTCTTGTTGATATCCACATATGTGTAAACTAGACAGGGCAGAATTTCACCACTGGTTCAACTGGGGAGGTTTGCGGGTGCCTTTGTTTCCTCCTAATACCTAGGAGGCTCATTAATCAATTAGTATTTGGTTTTAATAAACTTTGGTTTTATCATGTCTCATGTGGGATCTGTTTGAAATTCTGTGATTTCTGTTTAATAAATTTGGTTTGTGAGGGGTTGTAGAGTAGTGGGCTTCATCTATTTTTTATGCTTTCTTATCATTGGAATTTAGTTATGTTGCTTATTCTTGGAGTTTTTAGTTGGTATTTTTTAGGTCAATTCATCATTTTTCTATTCTTTGTTCCTTGCATTCCTGGGGAAGGGTTGTGCAGTGCTTAAAAAAGATAAAAAAAAAAAAAACTAGAAAGCTATATATTATTCTCACAATGTTTTTTAGAAGAAATGAAAAACTATTATATTGACTTTCCATTGCAAGCTGACAATATTCTTCTTTTAACTTGTTTGTTAATGTTTGATGTTGTTGTTCCTCCTCTCATGAGTGTCCTGGAAGCAGAGTATTATTAGTAAATGCATTGGTATTTCGAAATTGAAGAATGAAGATCAAGTGTCAGAATTTCTCTTGATTTACATAGAGGAAGATTTGTTTATATTTATTTTTTTCTTTATCTGTTAGCATATACTTGGACCTACTCATAACTAATTGCTAGCAAACTTCGAACAGGATTTCTGGTACAGCCCAATAAAATAGACCTGGTATCCTTAAGTTAGTGTTTCAAGAATACAAGCAATGATCTAGTTTCACTTGATTGATATCTTGCCAGATGCAGTTTGGAATTCCATCCATTCTCTGTTGAAACAGTATTTGTTGTTATCTTGAAGAAGATTAAGTCAAAAACAATACTCTTACGCCAAGCTTAAATTCCAGAATGATCTATTTTCTCTCATTTGCCAGTTCCAGATGAAAATTTTCTTTTCCTTATTGGACTTTACAACCTGGTCCTTTTTCTTTTCTTTTCTTTTCTTTTTTTATTTTTTTGTTGGACTTTTCTGCTTTACTATTTTCTCATCAGCAAAGATTTAACTTTGATGATATTCAAGGAGAATAAAGTTTCAGTAAAAGAGAATTAAGTATTTTAAGGTGCAGTAACTGAAGCCTTCTAAGCCAGAAAGTCAAAGTATTAGAATTATCATTTTTTAATTTTTGAAGCACATCATGTGGAAAGTAATTTTGTTTCCTCATGACTTCAATCAAGGAAAAGAAGTTGGACGGCACATCATGGTGCTGTTAGATAAGAGTTACTCACTCCCACTATAAGTCGAGATTATATTATGATCATAATTATATGAATCCAAAGTAGTGGGTCCTTGTGAAGGAGATAGATGAGCATTTGGCACTCTTTACTATAAATTAAGCCTTGTGGTGGGGCCTTATTTCGTTTGGTGCTTTATTATTATTATTATTACTTTTGTCTGTAGCATATGTCCTGTGCATCTTTGTTGCCTGGTATGGTTTTGCAGTCATTGTCCGGTTTCTATCCTCATTACCTTCTCCACGGTAGTCCAGTTTCAGATTTCATATCAGTTCTAGTTTTATGATCATGTTTTGATTTATTACATAACCAACCATCAATTTAGGTTAGAGAATTCTGTGCACTAACCTCAGTTCTCCTGTCTATTACAGGATCAAAGTCTATAGTAGCTGAAATCAAGTTGTGGGAACAGATCCATGGCGTTTGAGCAATATTTTAGCCAGGAGTGGAAGCATATCCCAGCTACCACAACACCTGAAAATCTGAATGGTTGCTTTGACTGCAACATCTGCTTAGACTTTGCACAAGAGCCGGTTGTCACCCTCTGTGGCCACCTCTACTGCTGGCCTTGCATCTACAAGTGGCTTCACGTCCAGAGTGCCTCCCTGGCCTCTGATGAGCACCCACAATGCCCGGTTTGCAAGGCTGATATATCTCACACCACCATGGTTCCCCTCTATGGTCGGGGCCAATCAGAATCTGAGTTAGGAGGCAAGACACCAAATAAGGGGATGGCAGTACCCCCTAGACCTGCAGCTTGTGGAAACCAAGCTCTTCTATCAACTACTACTCAGAATGGTCAGCAGCTTGTCTATCGTAATCCTTATCAAAACCAGAACTACAACAACGACGCACAATATGAAGAGGATTCAACCTCATCACTGCTGAACATTGAACGGCCCACAATGACTGGATTTCATCATACAGGGGCTGGAATGTTTGGTGAGATGGTTTATGCAAGGGTCTTTGGGAACTCCGAAAACTTATACACTTATCCGAATTCATACTACTTAGTGGGAAGTAGTAGTCCCAGATTAAGAAGGCAGGTGATGCAGGCAGACAAGTCACTTAACAGAATTTCAATTTTTCTCTTCTGTTGCCTTCTTCTGTGCTTACTTGTATTTTGAGGTAAAGCTATTAGCCCCCTTTTCTTTATATAGGCTCTGTAAATAATCAAGAATGTAAGCATCCTGTCACGACTACATGAGACAATGTTTTATGAGGGAATATCATGTGCTATATTGATTTCTTATGCCACCTTTGGCAAACTTGAGATCGCCTGTTTTGATGGGCAAGGTGGTAGAGTAATAATGGGCATTGAAGATGACAGCCACCTTCTTATGTTAGATCTAAAACAAGAGTCTGGTAGTGGAGCCGTAAAGGTGAAAACCTTCTATTTAAGATAATGAAAACCATTTGACTTCCAGCTTAAGGCTACTCTCCTCCGTGGCTCCACCAACCTAAGTACTTGTATCTCCATCTCCATCCAATAAATAATCAAACGCCTTAGTGCTGGGCGGCAGTGGCTATGAGTCTTAGGACCACACGGCATTTGTTTTGGTGACATAATCTGATCAATTTTTAATTTGATTATTAAAAATAATTGATATTTATTATTTAATAAATTAAAATAAATTTATAAATAGATATTTTAGACATTATAATTAATTATTTAATAAAAAAATTATAAATCAATAAAAAAAAGTTAAACTGTGTGATCATAATTACATTCATGCTGAGTCATTTAATTACATTCATGCTGAGTCATTTAATTACATTCATGCTGAGTCATTTAAGGAGATAAGTGCTAATTGATTCATATATCTAAAGTTTCCACTTACCAACAACTTAAGTTGTCTAGATACTGACAATTCTCTTGCATCCTATCTCAATTTCTTCTCCTAATAGAATAATAGATTGTCGGTTTAAGTTATAGTTGTATGAGTAAGGTGACTAATAAGATGAGAAAGAATTATCTCTTTCACTATACAACTAACAAAAAAAAAAGAGAATGAAAAATCAAGTTCCCACTTCTCTCCTTCCCCACATGGTAACAACAAAGATGATATTCAATCACTTCTGCATCTTTAATTTCTTGGTTCAACTATGAGTTCAAATTGTTCAATGAAAAAACTGGATTCATGGCCAATGGCCGATGGCACTAGTAGTCTCTTGGTGATCTCATCTTTTGTGTCAAGATAGAAGGTTCTGCGATATAGTTATATGGTATGTGAAAAGTGTGAATAAAAAGATAGGCTAAGGTTACTTTTTGTTTTGTGGCAGACATCAAAATTGGTTCCATAGTCGATAATTACACTCTAGTCATCTTCTCCTACCGATTTAGTTGACATCTAAGGACCATGGAGAAAAAGGAGACCCATCAATTTCATGGTTCTGAGTGGTGAATTCTTTCAAATTCTTTTCAAACCCAATGATTTTTTTTGTAAAGATTGTTGAATGAGTTTGAATTTTCAGCTGGAAAACCAGACTTTAGGTGAGCCTAAACACATGGCACAGCCACACAACATGAAAGTCCATGAAATCATGAACCATAATAATTCCAATCCATTGAAAAACAAACAGAGCATGTCACTCGAAATGATGATCTTCTATTATCATTTTTATCATAATTCTGCTTCCATTGACCCATTAGCACTGTTTTTTGCCACAAAATAAGGCACCAAATGAACGTGATCCGTTTTGCATCTCCTTGATGTGTTTACATTCGAATTGGTTAAAGCAAGAGACATTTTTTTGTCTTTTGTTCTATAAATTTTCCTTTACCAAAAATCCTTGATGGAGGAACCACTTTCGTGAATGGTGGATCATTCAAATATTCAGTTCGTTGATTTGGTGTAAGAGCAAATGGATAAGAATTAGGGGTGTTTAATTTTGAATCCATTACCTAGAACAAAAAGTTACTACAATATTAATGCTTTCTCATTATATTTTGTAGAATTTGTTTAATTTGTACTTTTAGGGTAGAGGTTAGAAGTGTATTAAATTCACTTTTTTTGTCATAAATTTATATTGAAAAAAAAAATCTACATTTAATTTATTAATTATCCAATTAAATTCACCTACTTGGCATCAACACTAAAATCAATATCAGTTTTTACATTTTTTTATGTATATTTATAATAAAAAAAAATACTCTTAAACCATATGTTAGAAAAACCTTATTATATATTAATGTTTTTAGGGAACATCCCAATAGTTAAAAACTTAAGTCTCTATATTGAAAATCACAAGTTTGAATTCTAAGATGAGTTGGGAGTAATTTGAAAGTGAGAAAGATATCATTTATCGTATATTTCATCGTTGGATATACCAAAATTATATTATGTATTAGTTCATGAAATATGAGTTTCATGGTTGTTGAAGTCTGATAGACTCTGCAATGTAACAAACAAGAATTATCAACAAAAATTTAGTTCAATTAATACTCACTAATTTCAAAATACTGATTTCAATTTTTAAGGTTAGCATTTGTGGTTTAAATTTCCTCAAATTTTCTGGTCTACCAATGATAATGATGAATAGTTGAACTCGATATTGATGTTCATTGTTAAATAAATGAACTTAAAGTAATGTTTATTAAATTGGATACTAGCTCTACAAATACACCCATACCTGCTACCCTATAATGCTTTGGCATTCAAAAGGTTCTTAATTCCCCGGAATGAAGGATTCTTTCTCTTAACAACGGGTCTGCTTTCATCCCCTTCACATCACTTAAACATATGCCCAAAGAGAAAAAATAAACTGTGACTTCCTTCTGGATTGAAGACACCAAATTTGTTTTCTTGGAATTGTTGCTCTAATTACCCTGTATCCCTTTGGGTTCTGGATCCTTTGAAATTGTGGGCCTTCTGAATGGAATTTTTAAGACATGGGCCTTTTAATAAGTGGGATTTTTCAGACTTTCTCAACAGCCCAGATCTGTTAGGGTAAAAAATTGTTGCTGCCCAGGATCGAACTGGGGACCTTCAGTGTGTAAGACTGACGTGATAACCACTACACCACAGCAACATCCTGGTGCATTGCTTCCAAATATTTTCCTGAAAGTCATGGTTGTTGTGCATCAACAGGAAACAAAAAATTAGAAATTTTGAGCTGTTATTTTTTCAATTTAAAAGGTGTATATAAAGGCGTATTGATATATTTGTTTGTCGAAATTTTGTAAGCCTTTTTTTTTTTAATGAAATTTCACATAAGCCATATGGATGTTATATAATTTTTAAAAATTAAAATTTATTAACAAGAAGCAGTGATCATTATTGAAAAAGACATTATCAATTATATAGAATGAGAAAAAAAAATTAAGTTGTATAATGTCTACATGGCATCAAATAATGGATTTGAAATAAATTTTTCTCAGAAAACTAACAAGACTTTTAACAAATAGACTAACAAAATTTTAAAGATTTAAACCTTTCAATATTAAAATGATAGATTATAAATTATCAATGGGATTTTTTTTTTTTTTTTGGCAGACTTCTGGGCGGCAACATCTTGACATCTTTAAGGCAGTGCATTAGGTGTGTTTATGGCCACCTACTAAATTGTTAGGTTACATATATTTTAATGGTTTTTTTTTTTTGTAAATAGTTAATTATAATATTTAAAAATATCAATATAAATTAATTTTAGTTTGTTAAATATTCATATCAATTATTTTGTCAATTATCAACTAATAATTATACTTATTAATTACTTTGACCACTAAACAAAATCAAATCAGTAATTTAACTGACAATATTTATAAAATTTTGTAACCCTAACATTCCAATATGTGTGATCCTAACCATGCACAATGCACTTCAATGGTTTGGATTTTGCAGTCTTACTTAAGAGTTAAGAGCCCATATTTATTGTAAGGAACCAAATGAAGGTTGTTCAAGCCCTGGTATGAAATTTTTAAGGCATGGCAGCGTGGGCTTTAAAATGGGTGGGATTTCGCAGAAAAAGGTAACAGCCCAGATTTGTTTTAGGGAAAAAAAATGTTGCTGCCCAGGATCGAACTGGGGACCTTCAGTGTGTAAAACTGACGTGATAACCACTACACCACAGCAACGAGCCCCATATTTTATTCCAAAAATATTGGTTAAATGCTAAATTTGGTACCTCAACTTTAGTGAGTTACACATTTTTGGTCCCTAAACAATTTTTTGCACTTTTTTGATCCTTAAACTTTTTTGATCCTTAAACTTTAAGAAATGCACTCCGTTAGTCCTTCTGTTAATTTCGATCGTTAACTCGCTCATGTGGAATTTTTTATTATTTTTTTGATGACGTGGCAAAAACAAATTGAAAATGTGTTGATGTGGATTTTTTTTTTCAAGATGTGAATTTTTTTTTATGCCAACTCATGATTACTATTTATATTTAAAAAAATAAATAAATAAATTATGTCTTCTTCCTTTCTCTTTTTCTTCCTCTTCTTCCTCTTCTTTCTTCTCCTCGGGCCAGGCCATTGAACCCAGTTTGCTGGGTTCGATGGAACCTAGCTTGGGTTCGACGGAACCCAACCTGGGTTCCAACGAACCCAGTAGATCTGGGTTCGATGGAACCCAGC